GTAGAGTAGTAGAGTAGTAGAGTAGTAGAGTAGTAGAGTAGTAGAGTGGTAGAGTAGTAGAGTAGTAGTGTAGTAGTCTAGTAGTGTAGTAGTGTAGTAGCGTAGTAGTGTAGTAGTGTTGTAGTGTAGTAGTAGTAGTTGTTGTTGTTGTTGTAGTCTAGTAGTGTAGTAGTGTAGTAGTGTTGTAGTGTAGTAGTAGTAGTAGTAGTAGTAGCAGCAGTAGTAGTAGTAGTAGGTGGTGGTAGTGCCACCGATGCAAAATCTCTCCGCGAAGCAACAGGAGAAACGGTATTATCTTGGCAATGATTCCCCCCCACCCCCCCCACCCCACACTCCTCCTGCCGTCCGCCACTAATTCTTACTTGAATGAATGTAAAGGCCCTTTGCATCCACATGGAGCGCTATTATCTTGGCTTAGTTTCTGAACCGTGTAACTTGGTTTCTGAATCGACTGTTTTGGTTTCTGAATCGGCCGTTTTGGTTTCTGAATCGGCTGTTTTGGTTTCTGAATCGCCGCTTTTGGTTGCTGAATCGGCTCTTTTGGTTTCTGAATCGTAGTTGCTGAATCGCCTGGTTTGGTTTCCGAATCGGCCGACTTGGTTTCTGAATCGGCTGTTTTGGTTTCTGAATCGGCTGTTTTGGTTTCTGAATCGGGACTCGCTTGGTTTCTGAATCGGCCCGTTTGGTTTCTGAATCGGCTCATTTAGTTCCTGAATCGGACCATTTGGTTTCTGAATCGAACTGTTTTTGTTTCTGAATCGTAGTTGCTGAATCGGCCATTTTGGTTTCTGAATGTAGTTTCTGAATCGGCTGTTTTGGTTTCTGAATCGTAGTTGCCTGATCGGTTGGTTTCTGAATCGGCTAATGCATGACCATCTCCCATACTAGATCTGTCAAAGATTCCAAGCTGGTGGAACCATTGCTGCAACTTGCATGAGGAACAACTCCATTGATGTCGAACGTATGAAGGTGTTTCTCCGGCCGCCAGATTCAGAAACGACGTGAAGCCTTCACAGTGGGTGGTTTCACCTCATCAATTTGGAAGCCTCTTGGACTCGAGGCTTCGCAGGAAGATTGTGGGGGAGGGCCGTGTGGATGGATCCCAACTCCCCCCCCACCTCGGCTGACATAGATGTAGATTCCACATCTACATGGACGCAGCCCGGCGACCGTACGCAACAAAGGCTTGAACCCGGCCGCAGGAAAACTACCCGGCCGCAGGACCACTCGACGTTACGCACAATGAATCCGTGCAAGCAGTCTTGTGAACGATAAGCGAGGAATGTCCACATATACTGCTCTTCTTACTGCGCTGAACAACGTCTTAGGACAAGTGAGCGCGGCATTTCTCCTGACCTCTGACTCAGCACTGACAGGAAACCAAAGCAAGTGCCTCTCTAGCAATGATCCGAAT